AAAGACAAGATAAAGAAGTTTCACTGTTCTATAAAAAGTCTTTTGATTTTTTTACTTCCATCTGTCTAGATGGTCTCCTTGATAAAACAGTGAGTGCAATGTCTGTCTCACAGGGCAAGTAATCATTTGACAAAGACTCAGCAGTGAATTTCCAGACGCATGCTTTAGAGCAGGGCCTCCAAAACTTCTGGCATCATGAGACACCATTATTTTTCTTTCCATGTCTGAGTACCATATGAAATAATTTAAAACTAATTTAAAACATTAAAAACTAATATTTTTGTTATAATATATTAAAATGAAATATATACATCAACTACCTGAGGAATAAGTTAACTGTAAGTAGAATAAAAACAAAAGATTATTGAAGACTTAATACATACTTTTAAATTATTTTAGCATGAGTTCCCTTGCAAAGTAATCCATGACAAAGGCCTGTAAGCAGCAGGACATTTTTACCTCAAATCAGAGGAATAAACAAAAAATGACAGAAACGAAAGAAAGCCTTTGCCCATAGGTGTTTTAAACAGTCTCCAAAGCTACACAGAGAAACCCTGTCTCGAAAAAACAAAACAAACAAATAAACAAAAACCTCTCATCACTGGGGCAAGTAGTTCCTCGTCCTTGTAGGGGACTCTGCATACAGCATTCTATGTTATTCTTGTATTATTCCTCCTTTGTTTTTTTTTTTCTTTTCAGTTTTATTGGCCTTCTTTCAGACCATCAAACTCCACACTTTTTCAGGGTACTTGGCCCTGCATATAGTGTTCCTCTACCAACCTCACCTAACTCACTTCCCGACTCAGTTTGTACCAACTGACAAACATTGTCATAGCATTGACTGAGTCAAGTTTCCTTTGCTTACTTATACAGATAAGCCCTAAAATAAAAAAATTTTTAAAAAAGCACTCAGATTCCATGCATTTTATCTCTAATTCCCAATGTATATTTGAAATCTTTTTATAGTTATATTGTTAATGGCTTTGCCTCTCTCTGTATTAAATAGGTTGTAATCTTCACTAAACAGATCCATCTTTCAATCCCTTTATATCTCTAGTATACAACAATTCTGGGTATGTATCAGTCATTAAGTAAATATGGAGTGAATAAATGCATGCTAGTAACTCCTGGTTATTCTGGAATGAAATCTTTCTCTTCCATGTTCTTATTCTCCTTTTATTCCCTGGTCAATGTGAAGACCCTGACAACTAGCATGATCTAGAGGTAGGTTGGGGAGGATATTTTTTAGTTTCCTCAGATAGTCTGGGAAGATTTCCTAGGAAGAGAAAATTTCAGAGTGGTTAGAAAGTCCCTCAGGCCTCCCTAAGTAAGGGTCATTACTCAATATCTGAAATGTTTTTCTTTCCCAAGGTATGACATTTTACATAAAATCGACAAGGAAGATCTGAACACAGTAGTATAAATTGTAAGTATCAGTTCACAGATTGCGGAATAAGTGTGCTGCTATGGAGAAAAGAAAATCCCCTGAAATGGTGGCTCAGCTACCTCAGGAACATCCTCCACGCTCAGTCCCTGGACTAAACCTCCTGAGAAGCATCTCATACCTCACAACCCTACCCCAGGGCATTTAGTTGAAATGTCTGGACAGCTTTGGTCTGTAAACCCAAGAGTCACCAAATGGTCAAGGCAAAATAATCTGTAAGGACAGCAGAAAGGGGTACAAGCATGCAGACAGCATGAAGGGGTATATTCATGCAGACAGCATGAAGGGGTACATGCATACAGAAGCCCAGAGGCTGTGTCCAGTGATAACTGTGTTTCATGTTCAGTTCAGCACTGAACAAAGATGCAAGCTCTGTAATCCCACTGTGTAGGTGAAATTCAGCTCCTGTCACTGACTTCCTGTAAGGTGTTGAACAAGTCTGTCTCTTGGTATTCTCACTTATAGAATGATAAGGCTTGAGTGGATCTCACAGGGGTGGCTTAAAATTTCAAGGAGTTAATGTTTGGCACATTAGATGGCAACTAATATTAGCCATTCTCATTGTGGTCCTCAGCACATGGCTTCTTATTCTTCTTCAAAACACAATATCAGCCATAGCTTCACATGCCTACTTGGTTCACAGGAAAGGCTCTGTTGTCTGTCTTTCAAATACCACTGTAGATAAAAAATTACTATTTGAGAAACACTGCAGAGCTGAAAGGGAAGCCAGTTTATTTATTTATTTATTTATTTGTTCATTTGTTTCTTTGTTTATTGGTTTGGTTGGATTTTTTTGTTTTGTTGTTGTTTCTGTTGGTTTTCTTTTCTTTTCTTTTTTGTTTTTAAAGAATCAAGAGAGCTTTGAGTGCCACTGTATCATGGAAAGGGAAAAAAGTAGAAGGCATTCATGGAAAGGAAGAGCAAACACCTGTAATGTTCCACAGAATCATGAACTGTTAGGGTACATCTTCATAATTACATAAACTCAGCTGCCTTTACTATTTCTTCATTTTTAAGTGGCTTTAAAGGATGGAAATGATTCAGCTACAAGGATGGAAATACTGATATCACAAGGGCCAGTGCTCACCAGCACTCAAAGCTGGCATATCCACCAAGTTATCTTCACTCTCCCACTTTCCATCGACCTAGGCAGCATTCTATAATTCCCTTCTTTTCTGCCTTTCTTTCACCAAAGGTGTATCATTCCCACTTATGGGAAAGTCAGCAGAGCCAGCAGGGGAAGGGGTAGTGTCTCTTAACAGAATATTGAAGGAAGGAAGGAAGGAGAGAATGGCCATAAGGAACCATGATGAAATGGGAAACTCACAACAAATGTAATTCAGAAAACAGCACACAGCATGTTCTGAGACACAAGGCATGCTCTGGGGCCTCAGAGAGGAAGAATTAAATGCATGTTTTTTGTGTTGTTATGAGTTGACATGATGGAGGATTTGGCAGAAGCTTCTGCATCAGGAATACAAATTTCTCTTAGAATGATATGTCGTGTCTAATTAATCTGTCTCCTCGCCTCAGAAATGGCCATCCTGCAGCTTACTCATTACAGTTAATTCTACTGATCCTGCTCAGCAGGTGTTTGCCTGTCAAAGGATATGCTTTCTAGCACATTCCAGAGAGAGCACCTCAATCTCAAACTGCCAGTTTGCAAACTGTGCATTCTAACGGTTTTCGTTCTCAAATGCTGAACTGCAGATTGAGGGAATAGGTTAGGTGTGAAGAAACAGCCCATCAGAACAGACTTCACAACAACCACTGAAACGTTCACAAGTGGCTGCCTGCTTCTGATAGAACAGATCATCACAAACTTTGTAGATTAAAATAATACAGCTATTTTCTCATGGTTCTGGAGGTCAGAAATCTAAAATCAAAGTGGAGACATGGGGAGAATTGCTCCCCTAACTTTCTGACCCCTAGAGCTTGTCCACACTCCTTCAGCCGTTGCCCCTTCCTCCATCTCTAAAGCACATCGCTCCAACCTCTGCTTCCTGTGTCATATCTCAGTTCTCTGACTTTGGCACCGTGTCATGTCTCTCTTACAGAGAGACCCCTTGTAACTGTATTAGACTCACTCAACGTAGTTCAAGGTCATTCATCCCGCTAAGCTCCTGCATCTGTAAAGTCCGTTTTGCCAAGTAAGGCAACAGACTCACAGGTTCCAAGAGTTAGCATGTGAACAACTTGGAGAGCCCTTGTTCTGCCTACCACATCCACAGTATCTCTCTTTTGCAGACAAGCTTTAGTTTATGTTTCTAGAAGCATGTATGATACATGAAGGCCTGAAAATCTAGCAGCATGCACTAAGAAAGGAATTTATCTGATCCTCAAATGCTTAAAAAGTAAATAAAGCAAAATATTTTATTAGACTATTCATTCTCTATTCCATCTTCAGTCATATAATTCTAGTGTACTTTTTCTTCCGTAATTGAAATCACAATTGGTTTAGCCTCATGAACATCAGACTGAGAGTGAAGATGTCTTTTGAGTCCACATTTGCTTACATTGCATTACTTCAGTAAGAATTGTGCTAATATTCTCATCCTACAGAAAATACAATTTTAAAATCCATTCAATTAATTTGCAGAGACTGTGTGACTGATACAGCTGCACTGCTGTGTTCTAGAATCACTGAAATACACTTGAATTTTTCTTTACTTGATGAACTAAGGTTGCATGCACATTAAGAGTGTTTTCTCAAGCAGGGCAGTGGTGGCACACACCTATAATACCAGAAATCGGGAGGCAGAGGCAGGCGGATCTCAGATCTCTGTGAGTTCAAGGCCAGCCTGGGTTACAGAGTAAGTTCCAGGAAAGGCTCAAAGCTACACAGAGAAAATAAATAAATAAATAAATAAATAAATAAATAAATAAATAAATAAATAAATAAATAAATAAATAAATGTTTTCTCCAATGAGATAAAATTACAAACTTCCAAAATAGAATCTGTACAGAAAAGGGAGACTGAAACAGCATCTCTGCTTGTTTTTGTTTGTTTGGTTTTATTTCCCTTTATTGGATGGTAAGAAATAAGACCTTATTTCTTTTATCTGGCAAAATATCACGAGTAGTTAGGCTAGGGTCATTTACATAACCATTATAAAAACAACTAACTTAAAATAGCATTTTTAAGGCTTAAGGGAAAATTATTAGATAAAAACTGATATTATAAAACCACCAGAGCCTTTTTTATAAAAACAAACAACTAAGTAGAGTTCCACATAAACACTATTTGAGTCTGTATCTAAATTCGGGTGCTTTGTTAGAATATAATAGGTGGCATGAATCTCTTCACATGATTGTAAGCTATCCTTTTATGTACAGCTATAAATGTGCTGCAAGAAGAAAATGTGTTTATCTCAGGGGATAGATGTGAAGTCTCCCTGAGTTAATACATATGAAATCCAGAGTCAGCAAATGCTAAATATTCAATAAACTGTCTCTATTTTTATTAATAAACAAAGACCAAAAAGGCCCCAGTTTGGAAGAAATATTCAGCCCCCTTAGCCCACTAACAACATCTACTTTTCTTCATAATGTTACCTGTCCCACCATCGTTTCCCAGCAGGGTCCTCGAGGTACATCTGCAGGATGAACGAAAAAGGGTGGTCCTGTGGTGTTCCCAGAGAGGGATTCATTGTAAGCCTTAATCATGTTGGCTTCCCACAGGGTAATATTGGCCTTTACATGCTTCTCCTCTTCAATCTAGAAATCAAAAAGGGGCAAGGGGAATAACACAGCACAGTTTCAAAGGCATTTCTGGTTATCCCCAAACTGGGAAATTAACATGCTGATGACAAGGACTGTCCAGACACAAGGCTCACCTTGTTGTTAATCTCATCCATCAATGCAAGAATAAACACATACAAGTTGCCTAGAAGAAGAGCAAAAATGCGCCCCAGGAGCCACTTCAGAGCAATGAGAGGATGGTAATCTTCCAGTTCAGCAAATAAGTCGAACAGTGTGGGACAGAACATCCCCAGGAGGGACATAACCATGTTCATCTACAAGGAGACATGGGAATCAGGGTGTTTCGGCTATTACTGCTTCTTGCCAGAAGCTGGGAAGATTTTCAGCTAGGCTCCTTTGATACTTTATAAAGCCAAGACTATGCCATGCACTTTTAGTATGTGATCTCAATAAAACAACCAAGACAATAGTCAACTCATATTTACAAGCTATCCATATGAGCTTGAGGATGTGCCCATAATGTTTCCTTGGTATTGTGAGTACACAATTTATATCTCTCTGCCCAGAGAACACACTGTTCTATGTGACTACTGATTATGATATGCTGATGCATGGCGCTTTGAAAATGAGGTAAAGAGGAAGAAAAACCTGGAAGTAATTCTTGCGACTTACTCGCTAAATACTTGGTGCAAACTGTCAGCACTACACATTTTCTTATTCCCCCCTGTATAGTCCATATTTTGAATGATTATAACTACCAGAATATATTTAGAATGTAATAGCTATATACTCTGCATGATATAAAATCAGCGTGAAATATTCTCAACTGAACCTAAAAATTTGGCATTTTCTGTACAACTATATATAAAGACAATTTAACTTTTGTTTCAGTAGACATGTAGAGTTATTTTTGAGTCTCCATTATTATCTTCATTTGTATCTAGAGCTCAGAGTTCCTCTGAAACAGATATTAAGTCCATTCAGAGAGTTATTCCTTTCAGGATATTGAGGTAGGCTGGCCTAGAATTCACTGAATAGTCCAGGTGGCTTCAAACTCACTAACTTTCTGTCTCAGCCTCCTGAGTGATAGGAAGAAGTTAGTGATAAGCAAGCGTTCATCATTTAATACGATTCATTATACTAAAATAGGTCCATTGTGCTATGGACCAAAGCTGAATGAACACTTTTCTTATACTTACTATCAGCATCAATAGTAATACTTACTATTACATGAGAGTATTTTGAAAACAGACTTGATAAATGATTTGTGCTGTTATTGTTAAGGGAAAAAAATCCCTCTATTTAATAACTGCCACTTTACAGGTTTCCATGGAATAATTGTGATGTTGTTATCTCTAAATGTATGGTACATTTCTGCTGTTATCACTTCTGAAGTTTTTATACTGTTTTGATGTAGAGGTATTTTTTATATTTCTACTGAATTACTTGCCAGCCAAGATATTTCTAAGAGATCATACATTTATGAAGTCATCTCAAAGTTCTCCCATCTACAGAGCTTTGCAGAAGTTTCCATCTGGGATGCCTAAACATCTCATAGCATAAGTCTGCACATGCTTTGAATGTGTCCAAGTTCAAATTGATGTGTGGTACACAAAAACATTTTATAAAAGTGATGAGGCTCTAGTAGTACTTAAGACCAATGATTTCCTGATTCAAAACATGTGCTCTAACACCTCTCTCCTACACACTAATTGGGCAGATTCTCTGCAGGCGAATCTGGCCATGAGCTTGCCTTCCTCATTTGAATAGCTGAGGAACAAAGCCTTTGGCAAGAAAGAGATGGAGATATGTCACTGAGATTTTTATGAAAAGCCCAGAAATACAAAATTAAGCCGGCAATGTGAGTACTTCTTATAAAATAGGTATAGGAACTACGGACAAACTAATCAGGAATCTGGCCTATTAGCTGTAGAAGTGACATCTTCGGAGAAAGCAATATTGGGTTATAGGAAGAGTCTTAGAGTTGAAAATGTCAAAGCTGTCAGTCTGGTTTTCCTAACTTTGTCATACCATCATCCCCTAACATCCATGCTTCCCTCTCTAGAACATTCTCTTCTCTCTTCCCATTCTAACTTTCCATCTTGTCCTAGATTGAAAACCCAACAACACGGATTTGTAAACAGGACAGGAAAACGTTGGGAAATACACAGTGTGGTAGGTAGGCAGGAGAGTAGAATGGAGCACCAGGTAGGAAGCAGCCTCGTCTTGAGTTCAACTGCAGAAACACAACCCACAAAAGAGCAAGTATGAGTTTCTAAGCATTTTAAAAGCATGCATAGACGAACTTCATTTTTTTCCCACCACCCAAGGGTGTCAGGATCTTGCTGTGCAAATTCTTGGGATCGCTTCACAGCCCAAAAGATGAGGTATCCACTTGCACCAAGTGTTAGGAACACGAAGAAGTTAGCAAGAAACCTCAGGAATCTGATGAGGTGGATGTTCTCCTCCACCTGGGCCGCTCTTTCTTCGATGATGGCTTCCTGCAGTCAGGCAAAATACAATGCAAGAGAAACACAGCTGTGAAAAAGGTCATTAACTGAGAAAAAGAAGAAACAAAAATGTAAACTAAATCTGAAATTCCATAAAGTAGCTAAATTTATGACAGACCAGGACAGTAAGTGAATTGGTAGAGGCAGGAGGATGGGTAAGTTTGGGGTTAGCATCTGCTACATAGCAAGCTTGAGGCTGCCCTGGGCTACATGAGACCCTTTTAAATCCTAACACCAGGAGAAATTTCATTCTAAAAGATACCCTCTTCCAGGACTTAATTTTTATGGTGGGGGAGTTATCAGCATGTAGGGCTTTGCTTTTATGAAACAATTTCATGTAGCTTATGCTGGCTTCAAACTTACTTTGCAGCTGAAGCTGTACTTAAATTCCTGATCCTCCTGCCTCCAATCTCCTAAACGCTGGGATTACAGGTCTGTGCAACCATGTCCTGCTCTCCCAGGATTGCTTTAAAGCTATGTTGTAAAGCTTTAGAATCAGTTTGCATACTGAGCCTACATGTTTCTGCAATTAGCTAGTGAGCACTGTCACATTATTTGAAATACCTGACACTGATAACCAGTGAACTCCTATTTCAACCAAATAGCAGTATTTTGTTACTAAATTTGGAAAAGAAAAGTCCTGAAGAGAAAATACAGCTGTTATGGGTCACAGGCTATTTCTGTCATAATCAGACTCGGGTTCAAATCGTGATAGGCAGCAATGATGAGAGCATCCTTCTCGTATTTGTCAAGGTATTTGAGAATTCACCTGGAATGCTTCCCAATGATTCTCTTTGGGAGTTTGTGCCTTTACCTTGAAGTTCATAGTGATCGAATTAAATTTGTTGTCGGCTGTTTCAGGGTTACCAATCAGATAGTCCCAGCTGCAGAATACCTTCCAGCTGAAGTTGAAAGTGTTGTCATCGCCACCTCCATCATCACCAATATTCTTGGTCATCCTGTAAGAAGCAGGCGTTTAATGCAGCAGCCGGGAAAAGGTAAGAAAGGCAGGCAAGGGAGTGAGAACACAGCAGCCACAGGCCAGCTGAAAATGCAATGTCCAGAAAACGTTTTTAAACAGGCTGTTCGTATACATGGACAACGGGAACTTTGCTTTTTAAATTTTATGGATTTTTTTTTTACTTAACTTTCTCATTCTGTGGTGATCCAAAACGACTCAGACTGATGATTTTATATAAATAGACAATAGGAACTTTGATTTTTAAAATTTTATGGATTTTTTACTTAACTTTCTCATTCTGTGGTGATCAAAAAACTACTACACACAGATGATTTTAATACCTATAGAGGCTGACAGTACAAATCCCCTAAGAGAGAAGGTGAGATTATATTCTTCAAAAGAAACCGAGCCAAAGACTGGATTGGAAAACAGTGCGAGACGAACTCACAGGACTGCAGCCTGAACAGTTACTGGCTGTGCCTTTGCTCATGGTCTGTTTCCCTTGCTGAGCACCATGACAGCAAAGACTAATTTTGTTCATCATTAAGTCCCCAGGCACTAGATAGCTCTCTAGATTGCTCATAGTAAAGATACCATACATTGTTTTTAAATGAATAGAAGTAAATTTAGCACTGGGGAAAGCTTTGCCAATGAACACATATACCATGAATGGCCTTTTATATACATGCTGGCAATGGGCTTGCTTGCCAGTTCTGTCCTTGACATTATAAAAGGTTTTGACAATGTCATCTTCACTTCATAAATATTTGCCATTCATCCTGGAAAGTGTTTGTAAGAAGAGAATTTTACATTTTGAATCTCATAATTTTAGATATGGCTCATAAAGCAGTGACATGAAATGGAACATGATGACCTTAGGCCTTTTATACATCACTGCCCTTCTGTTCCAAGCACTCTTGAAAAAAGGCCAAATGCAGTTTGGAGAGGAGGAGGGGACAGTCATGTGCTATGTTGGATCTGCCAGGAGGTCATGCTCCCATAAGTCAGCCTCACAGAGGCATCCTTTAGGGCCTGAATTTCATCATCAGAAACTGTGAAAATTATCATCTCCAGTGGAAATATTGCTGACAAGTAAAATATTAACATGGATTCCATGAGGAGCTCTTGTTGTTGTTGTTGTTGTTGTTGTTGTTTTCTCTAAGTACATGAGAGAATCTTTCAACAAAAGGGAATGTAATTGGTGGTTGGGAAAGGAGAAGGAAGACACAATTTTGAAACTAAGATTTTAAGTCAGGAAATATGGAAGACATTTAGGCAGGGTTTGAGGTGGGTCACAGATATTCTGGGTAAGTATGTACAACAGAAGGAAAAAAGAAAGTGGTTTGGGAAATGACAATTTAAATAGAATTTAGAAATATTTTTACTCATTTGGAAATTATGTGTGAGGTGGCCCCTGATTCTAGTGTGATCTGGAATATAAAAGGGTCTTGTAATATACTTACGTTTGATAAGTTTATTTTTTTTAATTTAGTGCAAGAGTAATATCAAGGCAATTTAACTCCAAAGGGATTTTACAACAGACAAAAGAATGATTTTTAAAATTGTAAAAGGCGACCCAGAGCAAGCTAGAGATGTATCTTTGTCATCATGAGATGAATGAATACTCCTCAAAGATTAGGAAAATAAGAATCCAGTTAAGGCGTAGTTCTCAACTAATGGGATTATATTGCTAGCAATCCATGGAGTCTGATTAATGATCAAAGGAATTTATTTGGGGGTTAACTCACAAGACAGAATAAAGGGATTTGTCGCAGAATCCTGGAAGGGTGAGCTCAGCACGGTCCAACATTTTGTTCTCTGGTGAGCTCTGCCCTGGTCAGTCCCAGCATCCAAAACCACGAGGTAGCAAAGAGAGTGCAGCATACGTGCATCCCAGGTTTAAGGGTCCACCCCTCCCCAGCAGTCACACTCCAGGAGCAAGTACCTCAAGGTCATAGGCAGGTGTAACAGTTACCTGCTATCTCACTAGGGGTGGTGGTGCTTCAGGACAGGGCTCAAATGGCTCCCACTACACTCAACCTTCCTAATACCACAGCCCTTTAATAGAGTTCCTCATGTTGTGGTGACCCCCAACCATAAAATTGTTTCTTTGCTACTTCATAACTGTAATTTTGCTACTGTTACAAACCATAATGTAAATATCTGTGTTTTCCAATGAACTCGGGTGACCTTGTGAAAGGGTCGTTCAATCCCCCCAAAGGAGTTGCACCCCACATGTTGAGAACTACTGAGTTAGAGAATGGTGTTCAAAATTCTGTTCTGACTGTGTGAGCATGGCCTGGTCACCAGCTCCTGAACCTTAAATTCTCCATCTGTTTCCGGAGAATAGCTGATACGTCCTCACTCACTACACAAGACACACTGGAGGAACAACTTAGTCCTATGGAAGATGAAGAAGAACAGAAAGGGTGGGCAGCATGTGCAGAGAACTTCTCACCTACAAATTTGGGTTCAACCAGACCCTAAGGGCAGATGGTCTTCAGTATTCTACATTTAATATCCTGTAAAATGGTATTATAGTTATTTTGTAATGGTTAAGAGGTAAAGATTTCACTGGAGATGTAGCTCAATAGAATGCTTGTGTAGCATGCATGAAACTTTGTGTTGAATCTTCAGTACCACATAAACCTGACATAGTGGTACACACTTGCTATCCTATCACTCTGGAAGAGGTAAATTTGAGGCCAGTCTGGGATACATGAAACCCCATCTCATAAAAACATAACCCAAACCAAAATCAAACAAAAAATGAAGGAACAGTTAATGGTTTTCATGATGTATAGTATGTGTTAGGCAAATGTTAATTACTATTTTAAGTACAAATTATGGGGTTTTTGTTAGAGATTTTGAAATATGGATATTGCCAAATTTCCCAATTAAAAATATTTATGTTTATTATTCTTACACAAGTTTATGGTGTATGTTGGTTTATAATACAGATAAGACAGTGTGTGTAGACAAAACTGTAACATCATTTACAGCTTACACATGACAACATAACTAAAGTACTGAAGGATATTTCAGTCTATTCTATGCATAGCATTATTTCCAGGCTTATAAACAGAAGCGAATATGTATACTGTCAGGGAACCTTGTGTTAGGGAAGTCTTGGGAGAGCCTCCTGGGATAGGGTGGCATTAATAAGCTCATCATTAGGCATACATTCAGTGAATTATTCAGCTCTTTCCAGAAGCTTGATAGATGTGACGTATGCCAGTAATATCCAGACTTTTTAGTTTATGGAGTTGCTTTGGATGAGAACAGCTACATTTGGGAATCAAATCACTTTTATTTTGAGATTATTAACTTCAAATGCTATGAAGAAACTGATGATTTCCAAGCCACCAACATTACAACATTCAACTGTTCTAGCCTGCCTTCAAAGCTTTTGTATTGCATTTAGTATCAGGATTCTAGAGCTTTGAAGAGGGAGAAGGAAAGAAAAGACTTAAAGGTTAAGGCGACCAGCCATCCATTTGCCAGGAACGCCCATGACTTTCAGACCTAAAACTAGGAGAGTCCCGGACTAACCAAACAAAGACCTTATACCTGGAATGCTCAAAGTAGTTTATTTTTATTTTACTTTTTAATTTTTCAACCTGATAATTTAAAATAGATATTTCCCCCTATTTTTTGTATGAGGATACTGAAGTACAGGCAAGGTAACATGAACCCAGGGCCTTGCACATGATATATAAGTATTCCACCACTGACTATATTCCCAACCCTGCATGTTGGCACCTTCCAACCCTGAGAAGTGCTCCAAAGGCCTGTGTTTATGTCAAACTCTTTTGTTTTTAGGATGGAACAGTTTAACATCAGTACTGATTCATGTCTTACACACGTACTATTCTCTAGACATGAAATAGTATCAGTAGTATATCCAGTTCTCAAAATGATTCTGATTGATTCCAGAAATCGGATTAAAAACTTACGCTTTGAGGACAACCAGAAAGCTGTATCCAATGCACATAATCCCCACCAGGAAGTACGAGAGAGGTAGCCGGAAATTCAGCCATCCAATCGTGCGTTTATTATCGTAGTAGCCATAAAAGAGGACAGAGTACTGTGCCAGGCCCTAAAATCCAACAACAAAGCCACTTACTTAGCAGATGTTGTGAAGAGCAACACAAAGGAGAAGATGGACTTTAAAAAGAATAGGATGACATTAATTTCCATTGAGGTCACAGACTGACATGAGCCTTGCTGTTTTGTTCCATAGAGTTAATGTTCCAGCTGTCATATTGATTGACAGCTATCTGAAATTCAGTCACTTCTAAATAGACAAAATTTTTAACCAAGTATTGGCTTGCTCCAATGTGCAGCTATTACTGTGAAAGGTCCATTGAGTTAAACATCAAAACAAATTTCATGGTATCATTTAAAGAATTAGAATAATACACATGTAGGAGGTCTCTGGAGTGTGCCTCCTTAAAATGTTGCACTGGGTGTCTATTTCCTGTCAATTAGATCTGTTCTCCTTAACTATAGAGTTGTGTCTCAGATACCTCTTAACAAAAATAAGCAGGTGAGATGATATTGGAAGCAATGAGATTCCTTCAGGCAGACTGATAGCATTCCCTCATAACAGCCATGTTCATCTGTGCACTACATCTTACCCAAAAACTATCTGCCCGGGTAAGAGTCACCATCTCCCAAAGCCACCAAACAATCTCCCTCTTTGCACACAGCATGTTGAAGTATCCTGATGCTGCTTTCTCTCCCATCACCTTCCTCTCTCATACTTCCACTTTCGACTTGGAAGTAGTATTTCTATGACATTGTATTATACATCCACTCCCCAGCTCCTGTCTGCCTTCTCTTTGGGAATTGCTTAAATAATCATTTTACTTTGTTAACTGGACAGTTTGGGGTACCTTCTTGAAATCAGGTAAGTTGCCTTTGAAACTCTTACACAAGCCAGTTAGCTGTCTTTAATACAATTTACATCTACCAGTGGGAGGACTATAAGCCCTACCAGTGAAGAAGGAGGGGATGGAGGTAGGGCCATATAGAGAGGGACAAGGGAAAATGCCATAGCTAGCAAGTCCTAGAAAGAGAATGACGAGAAGGAATTGAGAAAGTTGATCTAAAAAAGAAAATCATGCCTAACTCACACATGATGTTAGTGGGATCTGAAAAATTACTTCTTTCAAATTTTATTTTTACTACCATAAGAACCAGGAGGAAATAAAATTTTTACACACACACAAATATCAAATAGTTTGTGGATCTAACCAGGCCAAAATGGGAGGTGAGGACTGTAGGCAAATAACCACGTGCCTAGCCCCACTGTACCACCTAGGGCTGCACCTTCATCATTTGTCTTAAGAAATGAAGCCCATCTGTGATGGTTAAGTCCCCAGAAATCCCATTTTAAAGTTTCTGGGTGTCAACAATGTTTCTGATGAGATTAGCATCGGTGTAGGTGAACTCTGTAAAGCAAATTGCTGTTTCCAACATCGGAGCATGCCATCCCACGAGATCCTGAGTAGAATAATGGACAGAGGGGATGTACGCCCTGCCTTTACTGTTACAACACTTTGGGCCACATTTTTCATTACCTCCTGCCCTCCAACTGCAACTCACACCACCAGTGTCCAGGTGCTCATGGTACTTGGACTTAATTATCTACAGGCTTCAGAGGTCTCTAACTTAGAGACAGAGGATTATGGGATGTCTCAGCCTTGATAATTGTGGGTCAAATTCTTAAAATGATTATCTTCATATATACTATGTAGGAGTATATTATAACGTTTTATTAACTTTAAATTATATAAAGATTTATATATAACAAATTTAAATGTGAATTATTTCTACTACTATATATATTAGCTATTGGTTATTTATCAGGCAAAACCTGATCAACAAACACAAATAAAATTTTGAAACTAAGTAATTGGCATAAGCTTCCATTAGGGAGCAAGTAGGCTAATCTTATCCAATAAGAAACCAAATAGGGTGAATGGGCAAAGTGCTCAAGATGCAGAACTCTTCATCTCAAGAGACCATGCCCTGGCTCCCATTTGCATGCCATGTTGTTTCACATTCAACTAGTTGAAGTCTCCTCTATCCTGTCCTGAGCCTCCGTGCTGGTTTCCTTCTGTCAGGACAATAAGAGGAGAGTCTGCTAAGTCCAGACACTTGACCTCTGCTTCAGTTTAAAGGTTACATCCTCAACTGCTTATTTTTTATAAGTGTGGGACAACACATATCATTTCCCATACCATTGACTTCTTTTAGCAACTGGCCCTTACACATTTCTTTACTGCAGCCCTGGCATACAGTAATACCAAAGTAACAATATCAGCTAATATATTTTGTTGATAATTTAGTAGCACTTGGACCCCCTTATTTCATCTCTCAGAGCCATCTAGCGAGCCCTGGGAAGTTGTTGCTTCTGGGTCACTCATTCTTCCTCACCCTAATGTTTCCTTCATAAGTAGAAGTTCTCTAAGTATAACATTCCCAACAATTCTCAAGTTCCTCACTGCAGCCCAAGAAGCAGAAACAAGTCTGAGAGTAGAGCCCACATGATAAAAAGGAATGCCATCCTTTCCTTCTGGGAGCACATACTGGCTTTGTCTGTCCATGCAAATGGACACCTGTCCTGGTACAAGGTCTGGCTGTGAAACCTACCTTTCCATAAAAGATACTACATTTTTCACATCTGGCTTAAGCTTATTTTTTCCTCTGGCTAGCTCACAACTTGGTTGGATAATGGAGGAGTCATTCACCGCAACACTGTCCCTCAACTAACACATATGAATATTCAGTAGCTGCTCCCCTGATGTGTACTTTTCAGGTAAACAAACTCAGTCTTAAAGAAGTTAAGTTACTGCCCAGGTTCCCACAGCTAGTATAGGACAGAGTCAGAACATGAGCCAGCTTTGGCACAAATCCCATGCAAGTGAATACTGAGCTATCCACTTCTCCTTGTCCTTTCTTTGTCTCCCAAGATGTGGATCATGTTAGTAACATATCTTCCCAAGGAAAGACAGAAGCAAGACATGTTACCAGCCTAACAGGAGATGATCCGTGGTGTTAGCTGGGACTCTTTGAAAAAACCTTGTACATGTTTTTTTTTTTTTTTAAGGTTTCATAGAGTTTCATCCCTATGTCCATAAATATTACAACCTAACATCTTTTATGATTCATAATCACAAATAGAGTAAAGAAGATGCCCTGAAAATAGCATGAGAAGAAAACATAGACCATGGAGAGCATCTGGCTAGGTCAGCACAATAGTTACTAGAGGCAGCTGGCTCATCTAGTGCCTGTCCCATTCAACATATGTTCAAAGCTGGCACTTCATAAATAGTGGATCCTACCAAAGTAGGGGAGAGTCTTCTTTGATGCTCATATGTGTGTGTGTGGAGGGGTGCTGATTATTCACAGGCTCTCTTACATTGACCTATTGCTACACATGCACTCAAGTGTATAAATGGGCATTAATAAATTCAATTTTAATTTCAAAAGCTTTATTAAATCCATCTAAGGAGTATATTGATGGTTAAATATGAGCTGATAGTTCTAGAAGAGAAATAACCTCCCCTGCCGTGCAGTGGGCATGCCACATGTCTTTTTCCTTCCCTTGAAACTACAGCAGCAGACATCTGGAAGTGACCAAAATAGCAATGACTCCTAGCCCAGCCACGGATGTATTCAGTTGCTATGTTAGTGGGCCCTGATTTCCCTGTGGGATAATTCTCCTCCCCCCTCCCCAATCTGTGACTGATAAACTACAGCCAGAGCCAAGTTTCAAATCAGCACAGAAAATGCCTTTCCAAATCTGGAGCACTATGCTTGTATGTCTTTTTTGAAGGCTACCAGTGCTCTGGTCCATAGTCACCCACACATCACCACAAAAAAGGGAGAAGACTAGAGGCTTTGATTATCTTGTCACTAGGAATTAACTCATGTGTTTATGTAATATTTACTGAGAACTCAGTATTTGGCCAATGCAATACATAGATAGAGGAGAAAACTGGATTCCTGGACTCCTCAAGACTTCATATCAGAAGTATTTGTTGCCTAAAATTGTAGCAGCACTCTGTCTTTTAGATATTTCATATAATTCCAAATAAATACTCCCTTTGAAAAACAAAACTCTACCCCCAGCACGATAAATGAATTTCATCAGTTTTAGCAACTCTTGTTAATGTGTAGTAACTATCAGACAACTATTTTGTGGGCAAAAGACCCCACAAAGTTAAAAATGGTAGAAAATGAAGGTAGGATGTGTGAAGCATGTCACAGAAGTTCCATGAGGTGGAGGTGTACTGCAGGAACTGAGTCCACCTACATTTCCACTTTGAGTCGTTACTGATCATTCACATCTCCCAATTAATTAAGAAGGTGTCAAGTAGGAGTGAAAGAGACAGACAAGACCACTTACTAAGAAAAGCAAAGGATGTGGGAGGCTGATAATACCCAACAGGAGCCTTAGTTAATGTTGCAGGAGCAACCTGGCCTTGGAGACAACATGTTGAGAGCCACCAAGTTACTTCCATGCTCCTAACCAGACCCTCTGTCACCAGCCAAGTATTTTGCTCACATCTACACTTCCTTTCTTCTTATAGAAATGCAGATCCAGAAACCTAGACCAGATACTGCATGGCTCTTGTTTGTTTAGTTATTAGTATTTTGATGAGCTTACAAAGTAATGGGCTTCAACATGGTATTTTCATTCTTTGTCTTGGGTGTTCTCTTTCCCAGTCTTTCCTTGTCCCCAGGTCCCCTTCTGCCTAGTCCTCTTTCTCCCCCACTAGCTTCTGTGTATCCTAGTCTCCTCCCCAACCTTATCTTAAGACCTCCTTTTCCCCTTTCCTGGCCCCCTTTCTAGTTTTATGGTCGACACCTTCACACACAGACACATATTTATCTTTCTGAGTTTTATAACTTTGTTTACCAAATAATTTCCGGTTTCTTTCATTTTCCTGGTGATGTCATCTTTCTTTACAGCTGAATAAAAACACTTCCCTCATTCATTCATCTGTGGCTAATAGTAACAATGAATACTGGCAAGAATATGGGGAAAGGACCTCTTGTTTTCTGTGATGGAACTATAAATCCTTA